TTGGAATTCCTTACCTAAGTCTTGAATTAGAGGTATGGAGGCTCAAGAAGGCAAATCTCTCACAATTTCTTCAAGATTCCAAGCAATTCAAGATGAATTCACTCTAACTCCCTATTCTCCCTCTCTAGTCGGCTATACACTCAAGAATAATGGCTGAGCAAATGTTTGTAATGCAAGACTAAGCCTTAGACAAGGTTTGGTGTAGTGGCCCACTCAAATGGCAAAGTTGTAGTTAAGTCAAACTATGTAACTTCTCAATAATTAACCTAATTTAATCATACCGAATCAGTTTTCAGATAAATATACCATAAAATCACATTAATTCTAAGGATCATAAATCATCAATTAATTTCGGATTCGGCCGCCGATAAGGCCTTCAATTTGCAATTTAAACATAAAAGCACGAACAGATAATCAAATAATCAAACAGATAGAATTACAATTAAACAGGTATACCCAGTCAATTCAGTTTCAATTTTAGTCGATCAGTTCAGTAGCTTATTCAGTTCACTTATCAGTCATAATCAGTTCAGTTTAACGGTAATCAGTGGTTAATTAGTAAATAGTGACGAGGGTTGTTACATCACCTCATTAAATGGGATCAAGTTTGCAAGAAAAATGATGATGGTGGGCTTGGTATCCGGAGAGCTAGAGATAATAATCTAGTTTTTCTTACCAAACTTAGCTGGAAAATTCTTTGCGGTGAAGGGGGATTGTGGATTGATGTTTTAAAAGCTAAGTATTTGAAACATAATACCATTCACAATTGGTCTACAAAAATAAAAGCTTCTCATTTTTGGAGAGGACTTATGATTACTAGAAATATGTTGAGTAAAGGGGTGAAATGGACCATTGGTGATGGTACTAAAGTAAGGATTTGGAAAGATTGGTGGTGTGGGGATACGGTCTTGGATAAGGCTATTCCCAACCATGAATTATGCAATTCTGCCACTGTTAGTACAATATTGAATGAGGAAAAAAAGTGGGATATGGATTTGATTACTAACCAAATACCGGAGGAAGCAATTCCTGACATACTGCGCATCCACCCTCCGTGGTTTGTGAATCTCATTGATAAACCTTGTTGGAAGGGATCCCATAATGGGGGGTTCACTTCTGCTGCAGCTTATGATATTATTGTTGGAAAAGACCAACATGTGGGTGATTGGAAGTGGTTGTGGAAACTGCGAATTCCACAAAAACTTAAAGGTTTTCTTTGGGTGGTGCTTAATAGAAAACTCCTTAGCAATGATATACATATGAGGAGGGGACTCACGAATGATTCTAATTGTATTAGTTACAATAACATGGACGACTTAAATCATGTGTTGCGAACTTGACCCCAAGCAGGAGAGCTGTGGGCCTCTGTTTTTAATACTCAATGGTATTTGAGAATGCTTAATACACCCTTGCTGGATTGGATCATTGTGAATGCCAAAAACAAACTCCTTATAGCAATTACATTTCATTTGGAACTATTTTCATTGTTGCTCTTTGGAGAGTTTGGACTCATAGGAACAAAAAGATTTTCGAAAATAAAAATTTTAATTCTTTCGAAAGTGTGAAGTTTATTTTCGAATTTTCTTTAGAAATTCCTATGGCTTTTAGTCGATCTATTGTTACACCAAAAAAATCCTCTGTTCTAATTAGGTGGATTCCTCCATTTGTAGGTTTAATCAAGTTGAACTCGGATGGATGCTTGCGAGAAAGTCTAGGAATTTGAGGCTTTGGAGATTTTTTCCGTGATGAACAAGGAGCCTGGATTAGTGGCTATTACGGCAGAATTGAGAGCCGCAGCAGTCTCGAAGCTGAGTTGTGGGCGGTTTATAAGGGTCTTACCATACTACTCCAAAGGGGGCTCACCAAAGTTGTCATCGAAACGAATGCGGAGCAGGTAGTCCAGCGGTTAAAGGAAGGCCCAGGCAACAACTTTTCATTTCGGGGATTAGTGGAGGATGCAAGAATCATTCTGAGAGGATGCGAGTGTGAAGTTATTCATGTCATGCGATAAAGAAATACTTGTGCTGATGCGTTGGAGAAGCTTGGGGCGGAACAACCTGAAGATTTACTAGTAGTTAACGAGCCTCCGGTTGAGATTCGCAGCCTTCTGGTTGCTGATATATTAGGCTTTGGTAGAGTGAGGGACTAGCCCCTCTCTGTTATTTGTGTTCTTTCCGTTGTAGCGAAAAAAAAAATTAAAAACTAAAAACTAAAAACTAAAACTGAACATACTAAACACTACTCTGTATGTGTGTGTGAGAAAAGGACTCATCTAATCTTGATTTCAAGGCACCAAAGTTCAATTTGCACCCCTTTCTTTATAATTAAATTCCAAATCTTGTCATTTAGCTTGTATAGAAATTTGAGTTATGTGCAAATTTTCATGTTAAAAGTCAAATTATAAACGTGTAATACTATACAAACTAAAAAATCTTATAATATGTTTCTTACATAAACTTGGTATAACTAGGCTACTTTAAAAAAGAAGAAACAAACGAGTTTAGTTCTACCACCTTTGACTATTTTTTTTCGTTTTTTTTTCCTCCCAAAATTCCACATAAACCAAACACGAACAATAGATCTATAGCTGTATCACAAAAACGCATAATCAAATAATCAGATGAACCCCCCCCAAAAAAAACAAGGGAAAATAATTGAAGACATGATGGATAACTTAAAAAGTGTAAGATAGGTTTTCTAACGATCTTCAGTTGATTGAGGTGAGGAACACAACAGACCTATGTCGGATAGAGAGATCGAGAGAGAGGTGGCTGCAGAGATTTCTCACTAGGCTTGCGTTTCAACTAGGGAAGGACAATAAAACCCTAATGTGTTCTCTTATAAAGCGCAAAGTTGCTCGTGAAATGACGATTTGTCCCAGATTAAAATGTACTGTACTGCACCATAGCAAAATTACATTTGCGCTATCTGTTTTACCATTCTTTTGTCAATTTTTATTTTTTTTATATGCTAATAGGTACCACTAATCACGATTGTATATATTCTTTATTTTATATTTTTCAAATATATATGGATTATACTCTCAAATTTAATCATAATAGTAAAAAGTCTCACATGACATTTAACACCTAATTTTTTTTCTCATCAATAGGGGTGTAAAATCTATCCATCGTCTCCCGGCCCTAGTCCATCCCAAGGCCCTAGGCCTGGGCCTAGGCTATATTTTTTGTGACTTGACCCATGAACCCAGTCCACTGGCCTTCTCCAAGGCCCATTTGGGCCCACCCGAGGCCCACTCTCATTTCCAAGTTTTTTTTTTTTGTGGGAAAAAAATAAAATAAAATTTTAGTAGAAAAAAAATTAAAAAATGGTCAAGCTCATCCTAAGTTCGAGCCCAAATCCAGGCCTTGCAGCCACGACCTGATAGCTAACCCAGAATTTTTGTACGAGTGGATCGACCCAACGTGGCCCCATTTTTTGTGGGAGTTCGCTAGGCTCGATTGTAGGCCGGCTTGAGCCCGGGCCAAGCCATTTTTACACCCCTACTTGTCAACACCACCTCACGTTGTTGTTGTTTTTATTGGGAGAAATTATGTTTATAATTGGAATTTTACACATTGTGAATAAAATATAAATTTTAATTAATTTAAAATAATAAAAATTATAATGCTAAGTGGAGTCATTCAACATAATTGTTAAATGGAGGTCAATATTTTTGGACCAATCAGGATTCAACACTTTTAAAGTGCGTGAATAATTTTATTTTTTTGTGAATTTAAGTGTAAAGATAATCCTAGATAATTAATCAAGTGGTCATAAAAAAGGCAGATGTCAAGGTGAGTAAGTTTTTAAGTTCGAATCTATAGAGGGAGATTAGTTTAATATAACCGCTATCTCGTATAAAAAATAAAAAATAAAAAAAAAATTGTAAAGATACACATGTCTATAATATTATTAAAATATTAACAATTACTTTTAGTTAGATTAATTCGACACTACTCCAATTATAAAGCCAAAAAAATAATGCGAGTGGAGCTACAAGACTAAATTGGATATCAAAAACAAATTATACAAATTGTAATTGTTTTTGAGTTTTTATTTTTTGTATTTCTTTTTTTTAAATATTTTGATTAATTATCTTTTATTTTTTAAATGCACTTAGGAAATAAAAATATTTGTTAAAAAAATTCAAAAGAAAAATAGTAAAAACAAAAAAAAAATGAAAATGTGATAAAAACTAAAGACGAGTCAAGTTTTTTTTTTTTATAGTAAAAAATGTTTGGTTTGTGTTTGAGAGATGTGTTTTAGAGATAAAAAGTACGAAAAGTTGTTTGGTTTGGTTTTTTTCAAAAGATATTTTGGAAAATTATTTTGAGAAAGAATTTTGGAAAAAGTGATTGATTTGATGTGTGTGAGAGAGAAATTTGTTTGAAAAACTTGTTTGGTTTACAAGTTTTGAGAAATTTTTTTGAGAAAATTTGTTTGGTTTGATTACTTTTAAAAACTTATTTGTAGAGAAAATTTCCCAAAAATTTTTCAGAATGAACCCTTGGGGTTCTGACTTACTTTACATTTCAAAAACTTAAAAGTGGTTTGCTTATCCAGCATCATTTTTGTTTTCAAGAATTAAAAAACAAAAACGAGAATAGAATCCACAGAAAGAATTTTAGAACTCGGTATTTTTAACTCCCTGTTGAGAGAAGCTTCTTAAAAAAATAGGATTTTTTTTTTTTAATTATCAAAAACTATTTTTGCACAAAAAATTTACAATACCAAACACTACCAAAGAAGACTGCACTGCTCTGCTCTAGGCTGCTGCAGTAAGGGTATCGAATAAAAATGCAACAACGTGCACTTCCACATCATAAGAAAAATTATAATTTTTTTTTTCCGATGAAAGTTACAAATTTTGAGTAACCAAAAATATATTTTTTTGTGATAAAAAGTATACATTTCATAGTAGACATGCAAAAGGAGCTGCAAGACGTACAGCAAAATACTACCATACCATCGAAGCATGCAGAAAGCAGTGCAAAGAATTTTGAACTGGGAAATAGGAACACAAAAAGCAGTGCTCACCAAAACTGCAGGTCAAAAACTGGACAATAAAACTTCCAAAGTCAAAATACTCGATAACAATACAATTTTAACTAAATAAAACACACTAGAGAAAGAACCCAAATCCATGAAAAAACAGTAAATACTTCAGCCGACAAACATGTTTCTTGGCAATTTCATATTTCTAGCACCTATTATAACGGCGAACTAGAAAGCACAATAAACAAAATTATCTCGTCACTGTATGCTTTCTCCATTCCACCACTAACATCCACTCTTCAACGGTTGGCCTTTGCAACCCTCTCGATCTCATCTTTCTTCTTAATAGCATAGCTGCATATGCCCCAAAATAAAGAGGACCACCAAGTAGATGAATCAAATTATTATTAGCTCACAAAATAAATTACTAAGAATAAAAACAAAACTAATGGGAGAGTGAGAAGGACGAATCAACCAATAAAAACTCTGTCCTCGTTAATAATATATGAAAAAACCAATACTAGCCCTTCTTTACCTGTTGGAAGACCCCTTGGCAGCATTAATGAGTTCATCAGCAAGGCACTCAGCAATGGTCTTGATGTTTCTGAATGCACTTTCACGAGCACCGGTTGTAAGGAGATATATTGCTTGGTTAACACGCCTCAGTGGGGAAATATCAACAGCCTGACGCCTCACGACACCAGCAGAACCAATTCGAGTAGCATCTTCTCTTGGTCCACTGTATTAACAGTAAAACGAAATAAATCATGATGCCACCAAAAAGAACAAGAGGGCAACCTAAGTGCATAATTCTATCAACTTGATAATGAAAATTTAAAAGAACAAGAAGGCAACCTAAGTGCATCACTCTACCAAGTGTCCAAATGTATGAGAGGAAGCAGTAAAGTTTATTCAGCCAGTGAGTGAAGCTAAGCTCTCGCTATCAAAATATTATTAGGTGCTCGTGGAGCAATGCTCCACTCCAATCACTAATTGACACATTTTATATCGTCTCCTCAAACTCCCAACACAAAAACGATATATATCAGTTTGGAGCACCACCACACCACCTAGACTTGCTCTAGGACCACTGAATAATTTATCCTGAACTATCATCCTAAATAAGATAACATAAATCAAATTTGCATACCTGTTGATCACAGCATCAACAATGACTTGAATAGGGTTTAGGTCAGTCAGCAAATGGATAATTTCCATAGCATGCTTGACAATGCGGACCGCCATCAGCTTCTTGCCATTGTTCCGCCCGTGCATCATCAAAGAGTTAGTTAGCCTCTCCACAATTGGGCACTGGGCCTTCCTAAACCGCTTGACTGAATACCTTCCAGCTGTGTGAGGCACATAAGTTGCGTGCCTTGCAGGATTCACAGCAATGTAATCCATCACGGACATGTCACTGATCTGTACCAAACGACATAACAAATTATCTGATAATATATTGACAAATGCCAGTAGTGGGGGTAACTTTGAACATTCATAAAATACAAATTTTAAATAATTTAGAATTAGCAACATATATGAAGCCAACAAAGTTTCATAGAGATGATTGGATATCACTAAAAATTATATTAAAAGCATTTTGCATAGCACTATAACATGTAAATTGACAGTATAATAGACAAATAACACCACAAACCAGACACTGGGGCAGTTTATGAGTAAGGCTAGGTTTGGCATAACCCAAAAAAGTTAAAAAGTCAAAAATTCACTATCCTATTTAAGTCATATCATCTTATTTAAGTCATATCACCTTTCTATCACATCACATCAAACCCAACCAATATTTCATAAAAAGTAAAAAAGTGCACTTATTTAGATCATCTCAAACAACCCCTAAGTCTCGTAACATATAAGTTTTGAGATGGTTGTTGGTGGTGAGGTGATGTCGGTGAAGAGGTGATGGTGCTGTTGGTCTATTATATGATAGCAAATGGTTAATGGAGCTGTGATGGAGGGTCAAAAAGGGAGAGTGAGGAATCCAAAAATTATTAAATTATTATATACAACGGGTTCCTCAAAAAAAAAAAAAAAAAAAAAAAAAAATTAAAATATTAATGAGAAGAGGATCAATTCTATAAATATGAGTATCTTCACATTTATATGTAGTACATAACTCCCGGCAGGCAATCCAAACAGGTCAGGACATAAGACCCAATTAAAACAAAAACTTAAGTCATTATGGTTCATTGAGCGAAAGAACAATAGTTAACTACCCAAAAATGAAACCACAAATCTCAATTGGATTAGACATATATCTAGGGAAAATAGTAGTTACATAAAGTGAAGAAATGGGAATAGTTTGCATCTGGAGGAGAGTCTGAAAATCAAAAAAACAGAAATGCAAGAGATTGAGATATCAGTACTTGAACTTCGTCGAAGGACCATCTGTTGAAGAGTTTCACATCACTGTGAACCTGGTTTGCCTGTTCCTTCTGATTGGCAACCGCAACAATTGGTTGATCTGCGATAGCCGCCTCCATTTCTGCTTCAACTGTATTTCATTTCCAATCAGTACATCACACTTGTATTGAAATTTTGTTAAAAAATCAGTATGCAAGTATTTCGATGCTGGAAGTTTAACAATAAAAAGTACAGTGCTCAATTTTCAATTACATAATACAACATGCTTAAGTATTATTCCCAATTTTCAAATAGTATGGTTATAGATCAAAATAAAAGTTAAAAGTAACAAGTACACGACTCTTCACATAATCTAAATAAGAAGAAATGAGTTCGTGTCAAGAAGAAAATTACAATCAAAGGGAATGGGCCCAATCATCAAGTCACGAGATTTTCGTGCATTGAGACATTATCCAATAATTGTAAGAGTTTTGGGATGGGAAGCATGGGAATTTGGGAACATAAGATCCTTGGCCCATGGCCCAATCAAAAAAGGGCAGCAAGTAATAACTTTCAGCATCATAAATAGAAAAAGGCAGACATATGTGTGTATTGAAAATTGAAACAACTCTGACCTAAAAGCAAGACAAATAGCCAAGGAAAATACATAATGAGCAGAACTCAACAAATATAAATCTTCAACAAAAAAAAAAAAAAAATACAAACAAGAAAGATCATGTTAAAACTAGGCAAACTTTCAGTTGAGACTACAAAATCATTCCCCATGTACATCTCCAAACAAACTACACGTATATCCTTTATAATTATTACCCAAATCTTGTCATTTGTGTGTAGAAATTTCAGGTGTACAGAAATTTGTGTGATGCAAAATATGGAGTGTGGAGTGCAAAAAAACTTTAGCAGATGACTCTCCATGCCATTAAGAATAATTGAGATTAACAAAACATGCATATCATATGATGCATGAGAAAAGAAAACATAGACGATGCACAGAAAGTTAAAAGGTGCTCTCTTTTTTTTTCTTCCCTTTTTATGGTGGTCATGAAGTGAACCATCTCAAGTCCTCCAAATTGACAAACAAGTTCATGTCAAGAAGCAAAATCCAATCAAAGAGCATGGAATTCTCCATTGCCAAATCACTTTGTCACATTGTCCCAAAACACTCACAACCGTCATGCGTCAACATTACTACGTCTAGAGATTCTCACATGATCCAATAATTGTGAGTGTTTTGGGATGGATGGGCCCAATCAAAGAGCAAGAAATAATTTCAGGTTCATACATGGCAAAAGATAGCATACTACACAGAAAAATGTGAGTGTTTGAAAGTTGAAACAACTCCCACCTCAAAAACACAAGTTAAGTAGTTATAGATCTTCAGCAAGAAGAATGACCAAAAGAAAAGATATAATAAGCAGAACTCAACAAACCCATCTAAACAAGTAAGATCATCTTCAAACAGGACTAACATTCAATCGAGACTACAATATCATTTCCCATATACATCCCCAAACAACTATACATATACACTCAAAAGAATTTGCACTCACCTTCTTTTTCCAAATCTTGTCATTTAACATGTGTAAAAAATTGTGTTATGCGTAAATTTTTATGTTAAAGACAAATATAAACGAGTAATCCTATACAAACTAAAAAAATCTTACACTATGTTTCTTACATAAACCTGGTAGAACTAGGCTACTTTAAAAGACAAGAAAGAAATGGGTTCAGTTCTATTTTCTTTAATTTTTTTTTTCTCTCAAAATTAAACAGAAACCAAACACAAACAAACACATCTATAGCTGTATCATTAAAACGCATAATCAAATAATCAGATGAACCAACAAAAAAAAAAAGAAAAAATCAAGAGGAAAGAATTGAAGACATGATTGATAACTTAAAAACCGTAAGATGGGTTTTCTAACAATATAGATGCATCAATCAAGAATGGGGGTAGGAAAATACTTCACAAAATAAAACATTTTTAAGATAAATATACAAGGTGGGATTTGAATTTACAGACTTAGTAGAACTAGGCTTCATTAAAAGGCAATAAACAATCTAAATCCTGAAGATGAATACATGGTCACAAATGTGTTCAGTTCTTCCACCTTCAACTATTTTCTTTCCTTTCTCTCTCAAAAATCCCAGAAACCAAACACAAACAACAGATCTAGAAAGTCAGATAACATTAAAAAAAAAATTAAGAAAACAGAGAATTGATCACATAATGGATTACTAAAACCCTAAAATAGCTTCTAACAATCTTCAAATGACATTCATGAATAACAGTTGAGGAGAAACCTGTGATGGGGAGAGAGAGGTGCGGCTGGAGAGACTCGGCGCAGGCTTGTAGTTTAGTTGGCTCTAGAATAGGGAACCCTAATGCGTTTTTAAAGGGCCAAGTTAGCGGTGAAATGACATCTTTGCCCATCTTAAATAGGCTTCACCACACCGGAATAAAACCAACCAGACGACACTGCCCTGCTCCGTCTGTGTGTGTGTGTGTTATCGTCGAGTGAAGTGAAGGGCACCCACTGATACTTGTCTGGTCATCGTCTTCTCTCTCTTTCTCATCCCTTCTTGATGGATATCTCACTCTCAACTTCTTCTTCTTCTGTTCGAATTTCAGCTCTATCTTCTTCTCGCTATAAAAGATTACCCATTAAGCCCACCTGCTTATCCTCTCATTTGCCATTGAAATGCTCCAACAACCTCCCTTTATCAGGGTTGTACACTTACCGAAGCTGCACAATAACTTATGCAAAGAGGCACCAGAAGCGTATTTCAATCTGGGTATGTCTAACTCCTTCCTTTTATTACCTAATTCTATGCTTTTCCTCATCTACAAATTGATGTTGTTTTCATTTGGGTGGGTATCTCATGGAAAACAGAATGGGACATTTTTAACAATTCAATTGTTTAGCACTTCAATATGTTTCTTCATCTGGGTATTTCTGGTTCATCGTATATAAATCTCTTTTACCCTACTATGGTATGGCTTATCATGTTGGCCACAAATAACATTTTGTAAACTTTCATGTTTATTAACACAAATTTATTGTCAATTATTTAGGAATACATTATTGATTCTAGTAAATTCATTTAATGTTTTATCTAAGTCAAATTCCGTGGCCTATTGAAATTAAAAAAAATATTGATATAACCATATGATGAAAACTCATGAGAATGGTTTTGCCCAAGATATTATTATTATTATTATAATGGTCCAATGGGGAAATCTGAATCCATGTTGCTCTTGGATAGATTAAGAAAGTGAACACAAACATGTTAGCTACAAGGATTGGATATTATGCTAAATCAAGCTGATTGACGAGCCAAGTCTAGGATTGCCACAATTACCTTTTAACTTATAATCAAAATGTTACATAGGACATAAAAAGGTTGTCAATTTAATTTATGGCATTTATGTAAAAGTGGATGCTGCCAGGCCTGCTCACAAATTGGTGCTGCTGGATCTGATCCAGTTTTGAATAAAGTGTCTGAGTTCAAAGATGCATTCTGGAGATTCCTAAGGCCACACACCATACGCGGAACGACACTGGGATCAATGTAAGTAATTATTATGCTAATGCAGTACTTCTGTTTGGTTTATAGATTTGTCTTAGGCAGCTTGGTTAAGTTGTAATTGACTCAGTTAATCTTTTCTTCTGTTACAGTTCTTTAGTAGCAAGAGCTCTCATCGAGAACACAAATTTGATAAGGTGGTCATTATTGTTTAAGGCCTTTTCTGGTCTGCTTGCGCTAATATGTGGCAATGGTTACATAGTGGGCATCAATCAGATTTACGATATCGGAATTGACAAGTAAGATCCAATCCTCAGATGGTTCCTATGGTTTCTGTAGTGTTGGTCATGTAATCTCAGGGGATGTCTATGATTAATGTGCTTAATATACTTAGATTCAAAGAATTTTCTCATTTCTGTTACCTATTTATATAATATTATATATATATATATACATACGTGGGTTAATGCTTTTCTGCTCCAATTGCAGGGTAAACAAACCTTATTTACCTATAGCTGCTGGAGATCTTTCAGTTCAGTCTGCTTGGTTTTTGGTGTTACTTTTTGCAGTGACAGGCCTTTTGATTGTTGGAATTAACTTTGGTCCGTTCATTACTGCTCTCTACTGTCTTGGTCTATTTCTTGGAACCATCTATTCTGTTCCCCCATTTCGAATGAAGAGGTTTCCCGTTGTAGCATTTCTTATTATTGCCACGGTATTCTTTTTGCCCTTCCTCCATTTTACTTTTTTTTTTGAACCTTCAGTATAATAGAGTGTATTATTTGTTGTATTCTCTGACAAATAAAGTGATGTTTAATTATAACTACATGTTGTTTCGATAATGCTCCGTCATATTCTTCACAGGTCCGAGGTTTTCTTCTTAATTTTGGTGTATATTATGCCACGAGAGCTGCCCTTGGACTTACATTTGAATGGAGGTGAGTTGCTTATTATTTTTTGCTTCACGCAGCCCCTTTTACCATTGGAAAAGGAAGCTGTATAAAGTAACAAGTTAACCCACTCTCACACACAAGCATACATGGGGTCCACCAAATGGGCTCACATAATATTATCTTGGACCATTACTGTCGGTGGGCTAACCTTAAAATCTCACTTCTACTTTGTGCTTCTGAGGTACAACCTAAAGGCAATATATTATGCTTCTAGAGTGCCATTCGAAATACCTATTACGGTGTTGTAGGAATTCATACTGTTTTGTCCAGGTTGTTAAGAAAATTTCTCATGTGCACGTTATCAATTTCTACTGCAGCTTACCTGTGGCTTTCATCACAACTTTTGTAACATTGTTTGCGCTGGTCATTGCCATTACTAAAGATCTTCCAGATGTAGAGGGGGATAGAAAGTAAGTTAGAAAACCAATTTTCACAATATGTCTGTTGCTATTTTTGTTTTGTTTTTTACTATTCCTACATAGGATTGTTTTCAAGATGCTGATACTTTCTTTTTCCCCCTTCTTCTTTATATATATTTACATTTTGACAACATCCAATAAATATTAAATGACATCCTAACTACTTACATTCCATCTTTTACTTTTTCCCAATTTTTTTCTTAGAAGCTGTAATGTACTAAATTTACTCACCTGTTCCTTGAATCTTTGCTTCTTATTCAAATCTAAGATCAAATACCATGATTATTGCTAAATACCTAACTGTTTCCATTTGCTGTTGATATAATTGTTTTCCTAGGTTTCAGATATCTACTTTGGCAACAAAGCTTGGCGTTAGAAACATTGCATTCCTTGGTTCAGGGCTTTTGTTGTTAAATTATATTGGTGCTATATTGGCTGCAGTTTTCATGCCTCAGGTGAATAGATCTTGATTGGAGTTAACTTATTGATTATCACCTGGTTGGTGAGATTCATCCCATGTGTTATTTACTAGCATCATGCAAGCATTTGTGTGAAAGGTTGAAATGTTTCTTGGGCAACAAATGATCACAAACATTTGGTCTCTCATTTTACATGTATTGCAGGTTTTCAAGCGCAGCTTAATGATACCTGCACATACCATCTTGGCATTGAGTTTAATTTTCCAGGTTTGTTTTTTAATTCTAAATTTTCTCACCCTAATTACCAGCAGGAATTTTCCTGGGAATGTTTTGGATCCACTTGCTCTTTCGTTCAATTTCTCTCCATTTTCTTGGTTTCAGTGAAAAAAAATATCTTCCATCTTTGTTTATGGCTATGTTGTTCTCCGACTCTTCTATTGAGCCCCATGCTCTTTTAGATATTCTATATGTTGTCTAGAAGTTGTCAGTTTTAATTTTCAGATGGATTTCTCTAGCATAATATTTCATTTCATGTGGTTTCAGGCACGGTTGTTGGAAAAAGCAAATTATACAAAGGTATCACCTTTTCAAGTTCTATGAATAATTGTAATAGCTTTTCAACTTCAATGATATTCTCTCTCTAGGGTAACCTCATTGAGATGTTTTTGGACTTGCTTGAGATAGGGATCCTCGATAGGACCCGTAGTTCTATCTATGTGATTATTGCACTCATGACAATAAAAGACAAACTTATTACAATTAAGTTCATGAAATGAAGATATTCCTTCTAAAGTCTTATGTATTAAAACTTATATACAGATCAGTCACAAAAAGTCATTTTTTGCCCATGCCCATTCATTCCCCCAATGCCGCCTGCCCTCTCTCCTCAACCTCTCCTCTGTACCCCTTCCCTTGTGATCCAAGATAGTGTCTTTTGGTCATGAATTCAAGATCAAATAGCCACAACTAGTGGCTAATTTACAATACACACACACACACACATATATGTGCGTATCATAAACGATATTTGACCACAATGGACTGAGGATTAGACTTAATTTGTTACCAGCCACCGGAGATTATAGAAAGCAAAACCGTAATGTGTACTGTGTTCATTAACACTCGCCATTTTATTAGTGATTAGGTTGTGGTTCGACCACCATATGGAAATCTCAAAACAGATCATTTCAAGATCGTTTAATTCTACTGTCCTATAGAGAATTTCATGCTTGCAATTTTGATAAGGGATGAGATTTTCTTTTTTTTTATTTATTTTCATAATAAAAATAAAATTAAAAAATAGAATGTATGATGGAACAATTAGCTCAAACAGAATGCTTAATTTTAAGGTCTGATCACTGTTTCACTTGCATCTTGCAGGAAGCAATCTCAGAGTTCTATCGGTTTATATGGAATCTCTTCTATGCTGAGTATGCCATGTTTCCTTTCATGTAACAAGTTATTCTTTATCTACGAGCTGTATCCTTTGTTGTTGGAAGTTTCCAAAGTTGCCACAGCATATGAGAGCATGGAACTTCAAATGGGCCAAGCTAGAATAGAGTTCAAGTTTGTTTCCAATGTGTCTGAAAATTATAAATCCAAAAAAATACATTACCGAGAGGATACAGAGTTTTTTTTTCTTTTTCTTTTCGAGTGTCTATATTGTAGAAATTAACTGTTGCTTGTATCAAAACAAAATTTCCATCAATAGAAGTACCATTGCAATGCAATTTACTTGATGTAACCCTGAAAGTTCTTTGTGAAATGGATGATAATGGAGGTGAAGTATGAGTGAAATGCAATTTACTTAGATGTTTCTGAATTTTTGCAGATCCAGGTTATGTTTGAATCATTAATTTGTTGAGAGAAATGAATGTTTGGTTTGTGTTTTGAGATAATTTTTTTTTAAAAAAATTTGGGGAGAGTGTAGAAATTTTTTTGGTTTGTTTGGTTGTATATTTTTAAAATAGTTTTAGAGTTTGGGATGATTTGATATTTTATTGTAGTTGAATAGATGTGTGTAAAAAGAAAAAGTAATTGAGAATGAGAGAGAAAAAGTGATTGATAGATGTGTAATATAGAGAAAAATAATTTTAAAATTTTTTTGAGAAAATTTATAACCAAACATGTTTTTAGAAAAAAATTTCCAAAAACATATTTCAAAACACCCGAAATCTCTTAAACATTTCCCTTTTCTTCTAGTTTCCCCTTGCAAATCTAAGATCTAAAACATAGCATAACCGTTTCTCAGCTAGATTGAAACGTTCGGCCATATTACGAGTGTCTATTTGTAAATGAACTTTTAACTGGAGCCACTGCTATGTGCTGTATATTCAAATTCTCATCTAAATTTACCTCTCATTATAACGGAATGTCAACACTTACCAATAGGAGAACTGAACTTTTAACTTTTCACTCAATATCTTATCACAAGATCTCCAGAAATAGGAGTAAAATTGCGTACATTTTGCCCTCCCATGTCCGCTTTAGCAGGAAAATGTACACCGAGTTGCTCTTTTTTACATTGCCATACGATCTACAAAAGAATTGTGTAAAAGAATTTTAAAGAAAAAGATTGGAAAATAAGTCCTAATACATACTATACTCAAAACACATGACCCTGTAGATTAAAACTATGGTGTTGATATTTTATGCAATATCACTTGATCAAAAGCAAGTGGACTTCTGGCTGCACTGGTTTCTCTACACAAATTTGTAGGAGTCAAAACCCTAGGACTCGGACGGAACGATCTCCTTGGAGAGGAAAAAGCACATCTTGGAGACAAGTGCACTTCCTCTAGTGCCCGGTTTTGGAGCTCTGTAGGGTAGTCCCTCACACACCCAATCCTTGGTCCAGCTCCGGTCGTCCATTTGCAAGATAACCGCTGAGCCAACTGACATGATTCTGTTCCTTTGTGTGAATTTATCCTCTGAATAATCTTCTCTTTTGGTACGGAATCTTCATAATCTTCTTCCTCATCCTCATCAAACAAGTTCCGTTTCGGAATCATGAAATCATCATCGTCTGATAAAACTTCTTCTGCTGTTTCATACCCGTCTGTTGGAGTTGGGATGCTGCCACTTGGCCCCAGTTGTTGTTCTTGTCCATCTTTCTTGAACATCTTGATCACATTATCCTTTCTCGGTATTTCAAGTGTAGTTATCTTTGAGTGTAATTTTCGGGAAAATCGTGGCAAGGGTATACGTGTATTTCCTGCAATATTGCAATCTTGTGCTCTAGAATCAGTTTTCTCTTGAGCAGAACTTTTGGCAATGATTTCTTCAATGACTTTAGTCAAATCTAGTTCTGTTAAGCTGTTTTGTATGGCAATGCCACTTCTCTTCTTGCCATGTGCTTCTTCTTCTTCGTCTGTTGGGCTTGTCTGAACATAACCCAAAAAAAAGAAGATAGATGAGAGGCCTATATTTTCTCCGCTTGATGATGTCACAGAATGTTTTGGCTACCTACTGGGATGCATCCACACACGGACAAAAAATAAAGGCAATCCAGTGCACGAGACTCCTGCTAAAATGGGGTTTGACTTTGAGGAGCTCAAGACATATCCAAATATATATTTACATCAATACTCAAAATAATTCTTAGTACTAATCCCAGTGACTAGCCAATAACTTCCTGCTGCATCATCCGGCACAGACTCTTTATGCTCTAACTTTGTGGCATTTTTTGAACAATTATTGTATTAAAAAAAAATTAAAAAAATCAAGGTTACACTTTTAACCTGGACAATACTAAGATCTACACTGTGCTCCTCCAGGAATGACATTAATTCTTCAAAATTCTCTTCCGTCGGCCGATAATGCCCACTGTGGGGCCAAACTGCCTATAAAATTTGAATTTCGAGTAACAGATGAGAACATTAATCCCTTAAAATTCAAACAGATATCACACAAGGGGAAAAGAAAAGTGAACTTATATATGTCACTTGAGTTCAGTACCTTGAGAATACCATCCTCCACCTCTAATCTCCCAGCAGATAATGTGGCCCCTCCAGCCAAGAAACTTGAATGTTGAAAAGTGCCTTTGTGCTTTTGCCCAATGTACAATGTTTTTGAGGCGCTGAGGACAAAAATCCACTTGGTGTTTTGAGGTCCTTCCCTTGTATCAACAAGCTTCTGTGTTTCCTTGTAGAAGAACTTGCCGTCCTCCACTGCAATTTCATAAGCCTTCCTTTCTGTCTGCGAAATGAATAAAAAATTATTGGCAAGGCAAATGTCAACTGAAGATAATTTTTCTGACATTTCATTTCATATCACTCCATTTAAGTACGTAGCACCCTGTTTGGTTGAGTTTTCGAAATATGTTTTCTGTTTTCTTTCCTCAAATAAAAAAGTCAAATTTTATTTTTGCCCCAAAAAAGATAAAATCATTTGACAAGGATGGATTTTTATTTTCTTCATTTTTTTTTTGGAAGAAAAAAATATGAATTTTTTTTTGAAAACTCAATCAAATAGGTTGTAACTTTTGCACTTCCCTACAGGAATGTTTAAAAGAAATCACGAGAAAATATTTCAGACTTTACAATTGCATATTGTGTTTCAACCTGGTTCCAAATTGATGTAGGAATCAAAATTCATTACTTCATAAAGGAGTCTTAGGCATATAGTAAATCATAAGGACCTCCATGGAGGAGGATGAGGCTCACCGGACCAAGATATTTGATGCATTGTTGTTGAAGCTTTGATCGGGGGCATTTCTCAAGATTGACTTCTTTACCATCTCCAATGTCGAGCCTGCAATTTTAGCCTTCTATTAGTTGAAATTGCCAATTTCAAGCGGAAAATATATGTTTCTCTTCTCGATTGCTTTTTGGTCCATTTAATCTTACCAATAAAAGAAGGGTTGTGTACTCTGGCAGTGGAGCCACTTGACATAATAGAACTGAAGATTGTGACCATAGCGATGTCGTGGATCAATCTAATCACAAGTAGTACAAAAATTAACAATGAACCTTTCAAAAATGCCCATTTGTTTTAGTGGAAAACATTTTCTGCTAAGAACTTTTTCTAGAAAATGGTTTCCTATGTTTGGTTGCGACTTTGAAACTTATTTGCTAGTGGCAGTGGAGGTGGTGGGGTGGAAAAACTATAGTCTCCACCCAAATAAGCTTGCTTTCCATTGTTCACAAAAAATGTTTTATGTTGACTTTCATTTTCTGTCATACCAAAAACCAAAAAATATGGAAAACGTTTTTCAAAAAATGTTTTTACCCAAACAAACGGAGCAATAGTATCGTTCAAATTTCAAAAGTTATCTTCACTATTAATGTGACTTACTGCCTCGAGCCAATGCTGTAGAGCAAGTTTTCGAGCTCTTTTGTCTTTTGATAAACCCTTCCCAACCTGCCAATGGAGAAATAAGCCAACAGGTCAGATCTACAACAAAGAAGTATCAAGTATGCATTAGTTTGTCTCAAAATTACCTTGGCAGCTCGGGTTCTTGCTCTTGACCAACGTGAAATGGCAGTTTGTGGCTTCTCAATTTCAAAGAAAGATATAGAACTATGCTTTAGTTCAGCAAAATCTAATAATTTCCACCTAGAAAGTGCAACCAAAAAAAAAGAAATCAAACACTGTAACAAAAAAGAATACGAAGAAACAGCGAATTTCAATGCATCACATTGGAATGAAACATTCCATTCTTGGATTTCTTTACAATCTAGAACTATTCCACAGCATGGAAAAGGTTCATGTTAAACTTTCAAAGAAATGGGGGTCGCTTTAACCATTAGGTGGTGTTTGGCTCACTGGAATGATTTTAGGCAAGAATGGAATGGTTATTCCTTATCCTTCCAATGGAATGACATTCTTCTAAACTGGTGAATGGTAATTCCATTGCCAATGTAAATTCCTTTTCTTTTTACCATACCAAACATGAGAATAAATATTCCGACGGAATTCCCATTCCATTCTAGTCTCGTTCCAATGAACGAAACACTACATTATAATCACTTCATTCTGAAAGATGTATCAGTAGTTTCAAATTAACACGAATCCATTTCAGCTCAATGTGGTGCTGAAACTTTTTTTAGAGAATTCTCATAGTAAACAAACCATCTCTGCTCTACTAAAACAGCACAGTCCGCCAACTGTCTTCTGGTACGGAAACTTTTGTACACCTTCTGCAACTTTATTGCCGCCTGAGATCTTTGGTTTCCTGATTCTTCTTCTAACAATGGGGTTTTGGGTGTTTTCTCAAACATGCTATCTGTTGGCAATTGTTCACCACTTTTGTTGATTGTATGGCTAGCAGATCTAACAAACACATTTTCCCCCATATTAGAAGGAGCTCTAAATGAGATCATTGTCCCCAATTCCCTCCCTTTAAAGCTAACCGAACCTTTGAATAACACATTTCCAGAACTGAATGATTTCAGATTGGCACGTTCAGAACCTCGACCATTGAAACTAAATGATCGCAAGGCTGTCGCCATATTGCTGCCATCCAAGCTCATTGATCTAGCCAAAAGGGCTTCAAACCGTCTATCCAAATCATCGAGATCAGCGAATGGACAGGATAAGGGTACCCCCATTTTATGAACAAAAATTGGGATATCGTGCTAGAAATCTCCAAAGGACCGGGATCTATATAGAACAAGATCTTTGGGATCACAATGCCTGTTAATAGGAACAAAACTATAGAATTTAGCCTTTAACTCAATATGAGAGAACATTGAACAACATTACGAGGTAATGCTAAATATCCATCAATAATAACTCAACTTCTTTGAATGGAGAATTATAAAGTTCCTCAACATCCAAATTTCATACATGAGATTTTTTAACTCTTTTCTTCTTCTTCTTTTTTTATTTTATTTTTATTTTTATAGAGATCCCAACATAAATCCACAAATTTGGGGGCATAATGAGAGTTTTAAACAAAACATAATTTTGAATTATAATCAAATTGCCTTGGGTCATTTACCAAAGTCAGTAATTGACGATTACACTATTCAAATAATTTTGAATTTGCCCCAAATAAAAAATGGATAAATCATTTGATTCAAGAACAATTTTAAATTACTAAGGTTTGTTTTGATCTACAAAAAAAGATAAATCAAGTATTAAAAAAATGAAAGTTCAAAGAATTCCAAAAAAGCAACACTGAGTCATGCTCATTTAATTTGATCAACAAAACAACGTAAATTTACAAAACAAATAAAATATTTCAAGTAATGCTTCAAAATAGAACAATTCTTATCAAATGTTGAAGCCAAAGAGGCAAAATTATCCCACAACATCAGCTTCAAGATGTTTTTAACCAAATTCAAGGAAATAACCAAAAAAAGAATAATAATTAAAAAAACGTTGAATGAATGCCCCAAATTCATAATTTGTGACTATGCTGCCAAGGAAAAAAATTAAAGCTGCAGTACCCATTTCTCATTATCAATTCAGCAATAATTATTAACCCTCCAATACCAAACAACAAAATAAAAGCCCAGATAATGCATAATTTGCGACTAAGCTACCAAGAAAGAAATTCAAAGCTACAATACCCATTTATCATGATCACATCAGCAATACCCAAAAAAAAGGAAGCTGGAAGCAGCATTTCATTGAACTCGTTCAATCATACAACAAAATAACAACCACCTATATGGGAAACAGAAATAAAAAATAAAAAACCCACAATGAGAGAGAGAGAATATATTTACCTTAAGATGAGAAGCTGTGAATTGGAGATGCGACTGGGCTTAGGGAAGATCCTAGGGATAAAGAGAAGGCAGAGAGATAAACAAAAGGAAAGATGACCCCTCAAGAGATGTGGGTTCTCTAAGCACCAATGCAAGACAGAAAGAGAGAGAGGGCAAAATGGGGCCTAAAAGAACCAGGGTGCATAGTTGTTTTCTCTGTCTATTTAAGATTGTCGTTTGTTTGTCTTGCACTACTATTTCTGAATATATCAAAAGACAGGTTGGCTATACGCCTTCGCCGATATAACAACATTTATATATAGAAGTTGGAGAGAGAGAGAGAGAGATAGCCTCCAACAATTTCAATGGTTTGATTATATGTGTGTGTGTGCCCGTGTGAGAGAGAGAGAGAGTGTTTGTGTGTGGTATTTTTCTTTATTTTTCAATGGGTTTTCATAATATTTTTGTTAATTTTTGAACTTAACTCAAGATTTTCTATTGGGCAGTTAACAATATTATGAAACTATATCCATATACTTAGGGTTGTTCACGGGTTGGTCGGGGTCGGATTGGATACATACTCGGTAGTCGACTGGATTAGTTCGGATTGACATTCTGCCCAACAGTTTTTGAACCAAACACCTGTCGAAATTGACCGAATTGGTAGTCGGGTTGTCAAATCGGATGTGGTCGGTTTGGGCGGGTTGGGCTGATAACATGTTGGGCTTTTCTTTCTTTTATCATTTTTTATCCAAAATTAAGGGAATAAAATTACTTACAGCCCAATTCAAAATTAAAATTACTCAATTAATCACAACAAAAGTTAGCCCATTGAAATTAACATAATGATAGATTAAACTTTATAATTTTGTACAATTCACAAGTAAATGAAAACATAACAATAAAAAATAGAGAATTAAAAAATCAAAATAAGAAAATGAAAAATACTTAGAAACTCCCAAATCAACCGTGATTAGAGAATCAAAATATGAAGTATTAACCAACAAAAAGTTATAAATTATAAATCAAAACATCAAAAATAAAAACCCCAAAACGAATAAAGAGAGATACCTCAATCTCTGAACAATAACCCTCTTTTAAGGCTGAAGATCTTGCTTTGCTGTAATAACCCCGATCTCTGATTAACGTTAATCCGTGGTTAATTATGCTTAATTAGTAATTAGGGTGAAATTCTGTATTAAATTGCATGTGTGTGTTGCATGGATTATGTCTATATCTGTTCAACGTAGGAAAATCTGTTTATGTTTTTCTTTCGATTTACGAATTAAAGGCCCTATCGGCATCCGATTCAGAAATTGACTTGATTTATGTGTTAAGTAGGATTTATGAGATTTTATGGTAATTTTAATTAAACGTCGATTTGGAACGATTAAATTAGAATAACTAATGTTAATTAGTTTAGCTTAAGTTGTTTACAAGTGTGTCATTGAGTGGGCTTTTACAAGATTGTTTCATACCTTATACATGTTTTGACTCTATCATCTTCCATCTTCAACGCCAAACGTGAGAGAGAGTGAGAGAGGGGAGAATTGGTTCAAGACTTGAGGAATTGAGCTCAAACTAAGGGAGGTGCTAGGAAATGTTGTTAATTGAAAAAGATCTGTAGAGCCTCAACATCAATTTTTTTGTAGATTGAAGCCTCTAGGTAAGAGACTAAACTCTTAATTGAGTAATTTAATTAGATTCTACAAGATCATTAGTGAATTAAGTGAATTTATATAGGAATTGCTCTAGAATTGGGCCATTCCATGCACGCATATACATTTTCTCACAAATTGAGCATGAGTTCAAAGATTTCTTTTATGCGTGTGTTCATCTCACTTACATTTTGGGAGTTCATCATGTTTTCCATTAAATTGCCAAGTTTGATCATGTTTTGAAAATGTTGGATTCAAGAAAAATTCATGCATGTTGTGTTCCTCAAACATTTACGAAGTTTAAGTTGAATTTTGTACAATTGGCAAACTCTTGGGCCATAATTTTGTGAAATGATCCTCAATTCTTCATGTTTTACAAGTTTGCTTTGTTGCCTCAAGTTTTGGGGCCCAAGAGGTGTGTTTTGAAGAGTTGGAATCATGTTTTGAAGCTTGGGAGCAAATTTGGAAAACCTAGAATTTTGTTTCCACGCTCGACTGACCATGTTTGTTTTCATCCTTCCGCTCGAGCGACAGAAGGCTGGCTCGAGCGGAAATTGCAAACTCTCAGAATTTTGTATGTGTAGAAGCACGCTTGGGCGACAAGACTTGCGCTCGAGCGAGGACCTGTGTCTCACGCTCGAGCGAGCATTGAGCGGAGATTTTCAATAATCAGTACTTTTCACATTTTTGCAGATCGCTCGAGCGAAAGGAGTCTACGCTCGAGCAACCACTCGCATTTGACATGTCCGCTTGAGCGAAGAAAGCCACGCTCAAGCAAGACCCCTGTTTCAGCAAAATTTTGACTAAGTGTTTCAACTACATTTTTGCATCCTCATTCCATCCTAGGCATTCCTAGGCCATGATTAAGACCCTATAATGAGGTTAATGGCTAAAAATACACTAAGAACAAACGAAATAAGTTATGTATAATTCAAGTGTGTATTTGTATGTGTGTTCGTGTAGGTCACGCGTCTCAGGATAAGTGAAGTGGCATTTTGCCATCTAGTTGGGGCGACCAATTATTTGTGAGTAATAACTTTGTAAGTTATGTTCAATGTTAACTATTTTCTGAATATTATGATACGAAGTAATTAGTTTTCTGAAGTGCTATGTTATGTTTGAAACGAATGAATGATTGTCCAAGATTCTGAAAGTTACTCGTGCCATCCTTAGCATCATATGATATGCGTCCCTTCATGGGTCATCAGGTCCCGTTATGGGTCATCAGGTCCCTTTATGGGTCATCAGAAACGTTTTTGTGCACATGAGTCATCAGAAAGCCTTCATGGCAGTCCCTTGTGGGTCATCAGATTTGTAATGCTAATGGATGTGTCACGTGTTATAACAATGCATATACAAGCTTTGAATACGAACGTAGCTATGTCTATGAATCTACTCTGTTATGATAACCGATTATGTACAGGGCTTTGTTTCTGTATGGACATCATTCAGTAAAATCTTTACTCTGTTATTATTCACTAGGCTTTAGCTCACTATTTATATTATGTATGTAGGTGAGCAAGCACGTGATTAGGCCCAGAGTTGATGGCCTATACTTCAGTTTTGTCAGCTAACCCTTGTGCCTCCCAAGGAGGTTCCGATTAAAGTCAAGTTTCATGGTTGTTTTTGTAAACACTTTAGACTATGTTTATACTATGTTGTGTTTGGTCAAGATGTTTATTGGCATGTACTTGGTATGTATGTAAATATTGTATCTTGTTATAAAGAAGTTTTAAGTTATCTATTCTATGTAAGTCAGTACAGCTCAATGGATTATTCATATTTTGTATGATGCTTCCGCAGCCCCTTGTTACATACTATTATGTCATGAGGTTTTTGGTAATCTGAGAATTACTAGCCGGTTACAACGCTAAACCTATGGGGACGGATTTGGGTCGCGACATTCACACATCTCAAATAATGTCATAGTTGAACTTCAAAGATAGAAAAACAAGGAGAAGCCTTGATTTGTTACATGAAAGAGTGAGAAGTGAGAAAGAAACAGAGAGTTTGGTTGGATTGCTTTGTTTTTTTTTTTTTTTTTGTTGATTCGGTCTACTCTGTCTTGCTCTTTATATATTTCTTTTGCCTTTTCAATTTTCCTTCTTGAAAAATGATGGAGCCTTTTCAATTTTTCTCTTTGAAAAGAGTTCACTGAAGTAACTTCGTGAAGTGTAGCTTTGTGAAATGTGACATCAACAGACTTTGTAAAGTGTGGGAGAGAGTATACTTGTGAAGCATAAATTACAGCTTATTTACCAAACACTACTCTACTGCTTAAATCTATAATCCCACAGCTACACCAAACAGGTTAGCAGCTTATACTCACAGCTATAAGCTATAATCTGTTAAGCTATAATCTATAATCACTTTCCCACAGCTCTACCAAACAGGCCCATCAACAGACTTTGTAAAGTGTGAGAGAGAGTATACTTGTGAAGCATAAATGAGACGCTTGGTAGGTGAGTGGGTGTGTGGATGGGTTGAAAGAGAAAAGTAAAAGACAATTAAAAAATTACATACTAATTAAGGGCTAGTTTGGCATGTACTAAATAAGTCAAAAAGTCACTATCTTATTTAAGTCACATCAGTTTATTTAAATCATATCACCTCTCTAACACATCACATCAAATCCAACCCAAACCCACCAATAAGTCAAAAAGTGCACTTTTTTAGGACATCCCAAACCAAATCAATGCATGTGTTCATTATGAGTCGGTTTGGTCAGTTTCGACGGATGAAAAATTATAAAAAGCACTACCGATCATGAATCTAAAAAAATCAAATAAAATGGCCCGCAACCGACCATCTACCTTGTCTTAACCGTCCATTATGTGTCAGGTTCGGACGGTTCGGACAGTTTAGGCGGGTGTGCGATTTCCATGAATAGCCCTACATATACTACATATATGTATGTTTAATTTTGTTAATAAATTTTATAATTTTTCTTATTAATTTAATATTGCTCTAAGAATATTTACATTCGACTAATTAAAACAAGAAAAAATATTAATTACCAATAAATCCATAAACTTAGAATGGGTTCGGCAATTATTATCAAATACAGAAAACTTGGTTCATTTGGTAAATTGTTTCATATATATATATATATATATTGTTGTTTGAAAACCTTTTTTGCTCCAAATAAATAGGTTTTTTTTTTCCTTTTAAATATTTAATTGAAAATATATATTTATTTAAAATTTGCCAAACGCTGTCTTTATATTCGAAATGCTAGCTGGAAATGGTGTGAATAACACTAGAAATTAAATTCTTAAAAAAAAGAGAGACGGTGACTGACGGTGACTTTTGACTCTTACCCATTCAAGAGTGCATCTCCATGCTAGTTCGTATTTTGACCAGATAGTGAGTGAGAGAGATACCCGACATTGTCCCTTTCCAAGTTTTATAAAGGAAAAATTGTCAACATAAATTTCAGAACATAAATTTTATATTTTGAATCATTTATCATGTGTATTATCAAAAAATTAAGACAAAATGACATACCTGAATCCATTGTGGACTAAAAAGTTGAGGAAAAAAATATGGTTATTTGGGTTAACTTTTTGACTTTTTACGGAAAAATGTATATTAAAAAATTGTTTAAATTAGTATGTAGAGGAAAATTAGAATTGAGAGTTGTGCAACCGTACTTTTTGACTTTTGGTGAATAGTGATAACTTTTTAACATTTTGAGTAATTTTTTGACTTTTTGACTTTTTGGGTACATGCCAAACTTGGTAATCTGTACTTGATTTTTGTATTTTCTCCTATTCCAATCGGAACTCTTCCCTCAGCTAACATTGCTGCAATTTCAGCATCAGTTTTGAGAGGGTGATTTATGATCTGGAGTTGGGTCGAGATATCGACCGATCAGGTTGAGAGCCCAGCAGTGCATTGGGCCGAGATGATCCACTGTTCGCCCAGAGAAGGGCTGCCAAAACTTGGGCCGGGAAGAGTATGGACCGAGTGTGTGCCACCCCGGACCGTACAGAAATTGCTCGGCCAGGAAGTGACCGGTCAGACCAGGATGCTCGGTCCGAGGATGGTCGAAGCCAGACAGGCTGAGAGACCGGCGCCCGGAAAGGCGCGGTCAGCCGAGATAGTTGACTGACCGGCAGGAAGGCCAACCAAAGGAGGTGCCCGGGCTAGGCTTTGCCGAGATGCCGCCTAGCTCGGTCATCCACGTGTTTGTCCGGCTAGGCGCATGAGTACGAAGCATGACATGGCCGAGGAAGAGCAGCTCGGCTGCCGAGCTCCAGCTACGAAGTCAGGCAGTTGAGGTTAGGTGGTGAAGGGCATGGTTTATGCTGACAGATGGGATAGCTGAGCCACGTGTCAGGAGATGACTGGGAGTGGATATGGGGCTCAGAAGGTATAAAAGCATGCCTGCGCCCCCCATACGCAACACACGAACATATCTGTAAGGATTTCTTACATTCAAACACTCTCTCCCTTCTCTCTATTCCCTCTAAGGTGTGTGCTAACTTGACCGTCGGAGGGTTTTTCCGGCCACACACCGCCGGGTAGCTCATCGTTATTTGCTCGCAGGTGATCGGATATCGACGGAGCTCGGAAGAAAGGAATACGGACACGCCGAAATATTTGCTCCCCGTACAATTGGCGCCGTCTGTGGGAAGTTCTCAGACAAAACCTTGTCTTCCAGGTTCATCTGATCGCCGTCCATGGCGAACAACGACGAGTTCCCTTTGTCCGCCATCGACGGAGCCACCCCGGAGTATACCCGAAGGAGAGAGGGACCTCCTGCCGTCCATCCAATGGCTGACTTGGGGACGCCCACTGGAGGACAGTCAGGAGACGCGCGGGATAAGCGCGGAAGGAGTCATGGGCGTTCACGGAGTCCAGACGGTCACCGGCGGAGAGACTCACACGCCAGGCGACTGGAAAGCAAGCTAAAGGATCAAGACGCTGTCATCAGGCGGATGGCGGCGGAGATGGAGGATCTTAAGCGGCATGTCAAAGGGAAAGGTGTAGCTGGAGTGGGAGACCACAGTGAGCGCACCCCGTCCCGTCGATCAGGCGATCAGAGTCAGCGACGTACTCAGTCCATTTCCATCACCAGGAGTTACCAGGTTGGTGATTCCGACGTGCGTGCAGAAAGGTCTAGCGCGCAAGACAGCACCTACAAACCCTCACGTCCGGCGACGACGTCGAGGTACTCTTATTCTGCTCAGTCAGAGGACCTACGGGCAGTGTTAAGGGAGCGGGCTCGCCGGCGCGAAGCCCAGAGAATACCAGCTTTCCAGCGGCTCTCCTACGGGGTTCACGCCAGCGAGGAGGTCGGAATGCCTCCACCCCGCATAGTAGTTCCACTATTTGAAGATACAGACCTGGCCAGGCTGAGTGCCTGAAAAATGTGCTTAACTTTAGTGAGCTCAGAAATTTGTTATCATAACTTGAGGGTATCCAAACAATCTTGTCCATTAACTATATTAATATAGGATCAAAGTGGTCTTCGTTACATCAATCGTAACTCGACCCACCAATGGTCACGTATACTAATACAGTTAAATGACATAGATCAATCATGGATGCGTAGCATGGAAATTACATGTGATGTGATCCATACATGCCTATGTCCAACTGGTCCTACTTAACTTTATTGAGATCAATACTTCACAATACGTAACAGAGCGTAATAAACTGAATATTTCATTTCTGTAGAAATTAATCTAATTGCATAGATAAAACTCAAGGCTGACATAAAGCAGTAATATAAATACAAACTCCCACTAAACCAGAATGTTCTAAAATAGAACAACACCCATCTCAGCAGTGTGCTCATGAAAGACCTTGGGTGGTAGTCCCTTCATAAGTGGATCCGCTATCATGGAGTTTCTCCCAATGTGCTCTATGGAAATCTGTCCACTCTGCACTCTTTCTTTTACAACTAGGAACTTGATATCGATATGCTTTGATTTTGTCGAGCTCCTGTTGTTATTGGAATATAAAACTGCAGACTTGTTGTCACAATATAACTTAAGTGGTCTTGCAGTGCCTTCCAAAATACGCAACCCAGTGACAAAATTCCGTAGCCATATCCCTTGGTTTGATGCCTCATAACATGCTACAAATTCTGAAGCCATGGTGGATGAAGCTATGAGCGTCTGCTTTGCAGACCTCCAAGAAATTGCTCCGCCAGCTAACAGATAAATATAGTCTGATGTGGATTTCCTACTGTCTTGGCATCCAGCAAAATCGGAGTCGGAATATCCAATGACCTCTAACTTATCCGATCTCCTATATGTGAGCATATATTCCTTTGTTCTCTGTAAATATCGCATAACACGCTTGACTGCTTTCCAATGATCCATGCCAGGATTACTTAAATATCTGCCTAACATGCCAACTATAAATGCAATATCCGGACGCGTACATACTTGAGCATACATTAGACTCCCTACAGCCGAGGCATAAGGAAGCTTCTGCATTTCTTGAATTTCAAGACTGTTCTTCGGGCATTGGCTGAGACTAAACTTGTCTCCCTTAGCAACCAAGGTTTCACCTGATTTACAATTTTGCATGCCAAATCTATTGAGTATTTTTTCGATATAGCTCCTTTGTGATAATCACAGAATACCCCGAGAACGATCACGGAGTATTTCAATTCCTAATACAAAGTAAGCATCACCAAGATCTTTCATTTCAAAATTCTTAGATAGAAATCTCTTGGTGTCATGCAATAAGTTTATATCGTTTGTGGCAAGCAATATGTCGTCAACATATAAAACCAAAAATATGTGTTTACTCCCACTGAACTTGTGATACACACATTCATCAACAACATTAGTTTCAAAACCATACGAAGTGAGAACTTAATGAAATTTGAAGTACCACTGACGAGAAGCTTGTTTGAGTCCATAGATGGATTTAGTCAATTTGCAAACCATATTCTTTGGGTCTCCTGACACAAAGTTTTCTAGCTGCACCATATAAATTGTTTCTTTAATGAAGACAAAATGACATACCTGAATCCATGCACACAAGGACCAACACTTAGGCATATAGAAACAACTCTCAAGCACACTTAAGAGGATGCAAACATGGACAAA